CTCTCCACCCAGCATGACCACTAAAGGTAAAGGTAATAGTTTTCCTTTGACATTAAGTCTAGTCGTGTCCAACTCTGGGGGGTGGCGCTCCGTTTCTAAGCTGAAGAGCCAGCGTTGTCCATAGACTCCTCCTATGTCATGTGGCTGGCATGACTGCATGCCGTTACCTTCCTGCAAGAGCAGTACCTATTCATCTACTCACATTTGCATGTTTTCAAATTGCCAGGTTGGCCGAAGCTGGGGCTAACAGCGGGAGCTCATCCCACTCCTCGGATTCGGACCACTGACCTTTTGGTCAGCAAGTTCAGCAATCCAGCGGTTTAACATGCTGCGCCACTGGGGGCTCCTAGCATGATCACTAGTTGTTACCAAAATTTACAAAATAATAACTTTGCTCACCCTAACCAATTTTGATGTGTGCACATTTGCCAGATATCTTACAATAATGTAGATTGTATTGTACAACTCACATTTCTATTGTACCTTATGCCATAAGAAATATATTAGCCTTAAAGTTTCTCTCCAAAATATTCATTGCTCAAGTGGAGCAAGACAGAAAAATTAAATATCAAGTATCCATGCAGCCAGTTCATTACTGTTTGGCCCCCAGTGGAATCATAGGACTATAATTGTATAGTGTGAACAAGGAGATACATTTTGAGACCCTCCATGCTCACTGGGGATACCCTGCTGATAACACTGAAGCCTATAGTTTGACTATATTTGAGGCAGAAGCATATCACAGAATTGCGTTGGAGGACCCAGAAAAGTTCACAAACACTTCTGAGAGGATTTGGAGTGGGGAGGCTGTGAGTAGTGAATTCTAACATCCACAACAAAAAGTTAGCTTTGATGGTGGTGCTAGCCTGACTTATGCCATCACAACTCAACATGTCGATACTAATGGGATTTTACATGAATATAACACTATTCTCACTGACTATTTACTTAATACTATACCTCGATATAGATGATTATCTTCTCTGGATCTTATTCTACACACATATTCACTGTATGGATATTCACACGATAGCAGTGGTCTGAACAACATGTGGTTTCTTCTCTATTAAAAATTCAATTTCCTGGTTTATTGATAACAATGGTTAAGGTAAATTGACAGGTAATATGTATTATGCATTTGAACTGCTATAAAAGAGAGTGCTGGGTTATGCAAATGGAATTCATAAATCAGTGTCTTTCATGAATAGAAAATGAAATAAACATTATTATTATCATTGTCAGTTATGATTATAATCAAGGACAAGCAGCACTCTCTAATGGATAGAATCCTCTATAAGAACTGAGTAACTGAGGCTCTCCAGCTTTAGATCTATTTCTGGTTTATTGACTATTCTAAAGCCTTTGACTGTCAAGATCATAATAAATTGTGGCAAGTGCTTGGTGGTGATGGGATACCAAGTCACCTTGTTTTTCTTCTGAGGAATCTGTATAACGGCCAAGTAGCAACAATAAGAACAGACCATGGAACAACAGACTGGTTTAAAATTGGCAAAGGAGTATGGCAGGGCCATATACTCTCACCCTACCTATTCAATTTGTACGCAGAACACATCATGCAATGTGTGGAGCTTGACGAATCCAAGGCCGAAGTTAAAATTGCTGGAAGAAACATCAACAACCTTAGATATGCAGATGATACCACTTTGATAGCTGAAAGCGAGGAGGAGCTGAGGAGCCTTCTAACCAAGGTGAAAGGAGAAAGTACAAAAGCTGGGTTGCAGTTAAACATAAAAGAACCAAGAATATGGAAGGAGCTGGGAGTGGTGACGGCTGACAGGGAGCTCTGGCATGGGCTGGTTCACGAAGTCACGAAGAGTCAGAAGCGACTGAACGAATAAACAACAAAACAAAAATATCTGATGGACAGTTAACATTCTTCTACTCTATATATTTATTTATTATTTATTTACTGCATTTATTGACCGCCGCTCTCAGCCCTAGGGCGACTCGCGGCGGTGCACAACATATAAAAACAGTTTACAAAAGGGCAAAACAGGAAATCAATACAACAATAATACACTATAATCTAGTTACACTAAATAATCCGCTCCGTCACATCATAGAATCATAACCAATATCGTAATCCGTATTCCGTTCCAGTTGTCAATTACCAGTTGCCGTAGCGCTCAGTTGAATGCCTTCTCAAATAGCCAGGTCTTCAGGCTCTTACGGAAGGACAGATATATTTATCTAGCAGACACGGAACATAACTGTACTTATTGTTTTTTAAACAACTTTTAGATTTGTACTTTTATTGAATCTGTTGTATTGTTTTCAAATATTCTGTTAGCTGCCTTGAGTCTCCTTGTTGAGAGGGCAGGATATAAATGAATAAAGGACTGATGATGATGCCCAGAATAAAGGTGTGCGAAAAAGCTCAAATCCTATTAGTATTTTTTTTTCCAGAGATTTGGAAGGCCCCTGCTTCATTTTATAAAGATTTGGAGGCATCCCGTTCCTATTCATAATCCAAGTCTCCAAAGCTTCATAATTGTTTTGTTAAGATTTGTTCCATTAGCAGCAATGGGCAAATTTTTGAGGCTACTATTTCCATCATTTCTATGGCTATCAGAATGAAATTTGGCACACCTGTAGGCAACATTTATGACTTTCAGCCTGCCAAGGTTCAGAACGTTTTGTTCATCCACTGATTTTTAGGAATTGTTAAAAATTTTTTTTTCAATTAAACATTTTTTTTTACAATAAATTCCCCTGAAAAAAATATTTTTCAGGGGAGCCTGAAGAATTATATCCAGTGACCAGGGTTTACAGCCTCTCCACTTTTTTTTAGATATTTGGTGGTGGGAAGTGGTCCTTGAAGCAACTCTCACAGATAACAAGGTCTTACTGTACACACTACTAACTCCTGAATAAGGGTATGAAAAGGCGATTGTTTTTAAATACTCTACCTTGTTAAAATGCATTTAGAGCAAATTGGGTTGAAGGTATTATCAAATACTTGAGAAAAATGAATGTGCAGCATTTTTTTTAGAATGAATATTTTAGAAATAATCTAACTATTTCTAAACTGCTCATCTTATCAATTATCTTTCAGAATATCAATCAATACCTGTTTCAGCATTTGAAACTAATTGGATTCTTAAGACAAACATTTGTGGCAAAATGTCCATTTTTATGGACATTTGTTGTCTTTATGAGTTTATTCAATTTAACCAATTATTGTAATTATTATTTTTCTTAGGATAATGAGAGTGAGGTGGCAAGGAATTATTCTTTTCCCCCTTCTCTTCCCTTTCAAATTATATGTGAACTCCCAAGCATACCAAGGCCCCTGAAGTAATGTTCAATGGATTAAAACATTTACAACGAAGACAAAATTTTAAGAACATCTAAAAATTTTCCTTTAAAATAATTTAAAATATATAATGCTAAAAGTCAGAAGTCAAGCCTCAAAGGCGATGCAAATGTTTTAGCTGCCTGCAAAAAGCTCAAAAGAGATGCAGTCTGCCAGACCTTCCCCAGGAAGGAGTTCAATAGTCCTGTTATTTCCACCTAACTTTCCTTGCAGAGTTGTGAGATATGCAACAAGATTCCCACTGAGGAGCTCAGACTTCTGGCAGACCCTTATGGGAGGAGCCAGTTTTCCAGATATCTTGACCCCAAGCTGTTTAGGATTTCATAGATTATAAACTGCCATCTTGAATTAGCTATAAATTGCATTTCTCATTGTGTATCAGGATTTAAATTTATTTCTCTTCTCTAAACAAGATGCAATCTAAAACTGTGATTCATACAGTCACAGCTCTATGGTCCCTGAGAGGGCATCCATCTCATCTATCAATGGCAGAGAGGTTCAATGTTAAGTGGGGAGATCTGAGCACACATCTATTGATCAGCTAAAATTGTCATGTCCATTTTCTCCCCAATGCTGGACTTCCAACAATAGTTGCGACAAAAAGGGGGCATTTTCTGAGCCTGATGGAGGAGTGGGGTAAGAAAAACATTATTTTCCCTTCCATCTTCTGAGAGCTCTCGATAAGATGGTTCAGATTTTAGCTACAACATTGCTAGAAGTACTGAGGAACAGACAAATGTGGACTATCTACAGACGTCACAGTCAACTCCTGAAACCATTCCATCAGCGTTGCCTCTAAAAAATCTTGCAAATCTCTTTGGAAGACAGGCAGACAAATGTCAGCATGTTGGAAGAAGCAAAGACCACCAGTATTGAAGCAATGTCCAGCCAACCCTGACAGGAATCTCTCCACTTGGAAACTGATGCCCTCACTGTGGAAGAACATGCAAATCAAGAATAGATCTCCACAGCCACCTACATATCCACCACCAAGACTCTACACTTGAAGGGCCATTATCCTTGGACTACAAGGGATTGCCTAAGTAAGTAACAGCCAAAAACCTGCAGTCAAATAAGAAGGATCCAGAACAGGGAAAGGAGGAAACTCCACTGTGTTTTTGCCTGCTTGCTGGTGCACAGCATCTGAAGAGGCCCTCATGTGGAAGAAAACCTTGTATATTTAATGGAAACGGTGACATAATTAATATGTAAATATGCTTGTGTTAGAAATGGCCATTTACAGAGATATTAATAATTAATTGTGTGTAGCAATTCCTTCCAAGGGAGGCTTGGTTTGTATCTTCCCTCTCATTGTTATTCAGCTGGTTGTGGGTGCCTTTGTCTTCAAATAGACTTTTTTCCACTTACTGGTTGATGAGGAAGCATTCATCTGTTTTTATTGATTTGCCTCTAACCTCTTTAAAGGTACAAAATAAACACTAGTTGTGTTAATATTGTAATATTGATCTGTACCTTTTCTAGCTGGTCTTTTTGCAACATGTCAAATAAATTAATAAATGCTTAACATTCTTGTGATCAAAAGATTATCCAGAGAATCTTCAATTTTTAATTCATGAACAACATTCATAAGCATTGGTGCTTTATCTTTAGAACCTAGATTTAAATTAATTGCTGTCATTAAGAAACTACAGGAAGACATGCATTGTTTTTAAAACATTTTATTGACAGGCACTCCAAAAGTACAGAGAAAGTGCTCTAGTGGGAAGCTAGATCTTCAAAGCACTCAAGTGTGTGAGATAAACTCTCCACTCATTAGGACTCAACACTGTGGGCCACTTTAGGGATAGATCACTAATAAAACTGTGCTCTGCAGCTTTCTATAGCTAGAGGAAAATGACTGCAGACTTTAATGACATCAGTAAACAATGATTTAATTAATGGACTTCCAACTGTTGCTCAGTCACCCACGTTCATGAAACTGCTACATGTATAATTACTGGAATATATTATGCCTAAATTCTACAGTGGCCCCCTTTCCTAAAGGCACTAACTATAAATTAATAAGAAAAAAATCGCAACATAAAATCATGGTAATTCTCAAAAACAATAAATTGCTTATATGGACTTCTATTTTTTTCAACATACATTCATGCTTTAACTGTACAAGTTCAAAATAATAAAAAATACCATTTTTGGCATTACAACTGATAAAATGAGACATGCAAAGAAGACACAGTTTTCTTTTAAAACAAAAGACCTCAGTGCATCATTTGTCAGAATGAAGCAGTTCTTAATGTTCTGTAATTGTTACATTCGTAGTACAAGGCTAAAACAAATAACAATCCCATGATAAATGTTTCTCCAGCATTATTTATCTGCTTCTCCATACCATTCCCAAGATCTTTGGATAGTAAAATCTATGCACGTGGTATATGAAATTACATTGCGATGCTATGTGTTTAATAGTCTTCATAGTACAGCATGGCAAAAAGAGAAGGATTGTCGGGATTTATTGCTCAATTTCAAGGCTGTCCATCTTTAAATCCGGTGGTTTAAAGCTGATCACTTCTCCATACGTAAGCTCTTTTGGAAAGGGAGAAAGAGAAAGAACATATGTAAGACATGAAATATTTTAATGTGATATATTTGTTATTTAGTCATGGACCAGGCCCTGAAGACACAAACCAGTAATGACTGATTGCACTGGGGTAGTGGATCCTCTTTGAACTTTGAAATAGGTATTGAAAGGCTGAACTATATCCTCACAATAAGGGCAGTACCTTGGATAAGTCCTCTGATCTGAAGTCGAGAACAGATTTACCACTTCACTGATGTGGACACAGTCCATATCACAGTTGGACAGTTACAAACCTTACTCCATGATCTGAGAAAAAAGAATATATTCATGGAAATCTGTTTTTCCACACATGTTGGTTTCATATTTTCAAGAGGTCTGGAGTGATATGAAGCTGTTGGAGGACAGGACTATGTGATTTCATGGAGTTTGTTCTATGCCATCCAAGCTAGTCTGCTAGCCATCAGATGGAAGATGCTGCCCCACTTCCAGTGCTGAAAGAAGATCCAACTATCATTCTCATTGGTTTTTAACATGGAATGGATTGGGTGAGGGATGCCCATCTTGTTCTGAATTTGCTCAGAGATCAAATTATCTTAGATCCATAAGGTGGATAATGTGACTTGGAGGAATCTACCACAATACCTGGGACCTCCTCTGACCTCCATAAACCCATAAAATTGGTGTTAAAAGTTGCCATTTTTCAATTGAAAAACAATTACTTGAGTTCTAGAACATATAACCAACCAAGAGTGACATGATGGAACTTCAGTTCACCCAAAACGGCAGTCCTGGCCCTATGTAGTGAGCTAAAAGGTATGAAAGGTGTGAAAGGTAGGAACACTTTGCTTTCTATGCAGGGATATCAACTTTTAAGATGATAATTGTATCCTACTATCTATGCTTACAGCACATACTGACCTAAGCAGAGGTTTTACTGATCTCTCATCCACAGCCTGATCACGTAACAAGTCCATTTCATTTCATTAAATGAAGAGGCTTTATTTCAGTTCCTAAATTTCTGAAACATCCCTGACATATTGTGAACTGTAGCATCTGTAATTTCTCTCAAGGGTTGATTTCTCTTAAACATCCTACATAAATGGCTTTTTCTTCCTTATATTTCAAAATAAAGCTAAGGAAAGAAATCCCTCTAAGGCACTGAGAATCACTGTGCTAAACCAGGCAAAGGCATTTCATTGCATTTCTTTAGTCCTAAGAATGGACTCAAAGAGTTATTTAAAAATACTCATAAAACTCCAATCTTCTCTTTTGCCTTCTAGAATTTTTGAGTAGGCTCCACGAAGCTGATAAAAATTCTACTTGCACAAATCTTTAAAGGGAAATCTTATGTAACACTGCCAAGGTATTCAATTATTCACCATATGGAATGAAAGCATATACATTTTCTCAAATATAGCTTCTGAAATATTAATTCAGCTGCTGTTTAGAGAAAAAATATGTGGACCAAGGTTTTTGTATGTAACAACATAAATGAAATGTCACAATAATATATCATCACACACTCCTCTCACCTTTAAAGAGGAAAATGATGTATCTGAAACTATCTTCTAAGTCTAGATAAGAATCACGCCAGTAGTCATGAAAAATAGAATTATAAGCACAATCTTCCTGTTCTACTTATACACTCTTGTAACAGGCTATGGATAAAAATTTAATGGGGTCGTTCTGCTGACCTAATATGCAACAGCAAATATAGTCCTAGATCATAGCTGTCTAAATATCAAACTAAAACTCGGGCATCTGCTTGTTGAATACTAGGTCAACACTAAGGCTCAATTACTTTTTAATCTAAACCCAAATTTTGAAAAACAACTTGGTAGTGCATGGAAATTAAACTAACAGTTTTGCATAGTAGATTTTTTTTCTTAAAAACCCCAGTAGTTTAAATGCAAAGGAAAAAGATAACTTCATTTTCTTTAGAAAGACATTAAAAGAAACCCAATAATGACTGTAATTCTTTTTCTTGGGCACACAACAGTTGTAAGAAAGCTATGCACTGTGTAATACAGCTTATTAAGAAAAACAGAGAGGTGGAAATGGTGAAGCCTTTCTGTTTAAAGATACAGCCAAAAGGGGGAATAGCAAACCATTAATGACCTGAAATGTATTTCCACTTCATGGCAGATAGCATACTGCCATCTACACAAGTAGTGGGAATAAGGGAATAATAACAGCAGCATAAGTATTAATGGTAAAAACAGGAATAATAGCTGTTATTTTGTTGCTGTTCGTTGTTCAGAAAGGATTTTGGTGCCGCAAATGTTAGACCTGTTTCTGGGTATATTTGACCTGTTAATTCCAAAAATGGCACCAGTTTCTCCCGATCAAGCTTTAGTATTTGAGATACAGAACATATGCTATCTATCAGCCTTCATCTGCTCGCCCATAGAAAATAATGATAACCATATCTAAGAAACTAGAGCTAATGTGGTCTATCCAATGCAATATTCTGGGTCAGTGCCCCAAATAACCTAAAGCAGGCCTAAAAATATGGCACCGTTTTTTTGTTGGGCTCTGTAATCAAAGTTATGCCGGTGTGAGGCATTTTAATGCAGTTCCCCAAATCCTTGTTATATTAATATCATCAAAAGTCTAAGTAGCAGGAAAAGGCAACCAGTTGCCCTGCTGATTTGGATCATAACACCCACTGTTTCACTGGCTGGAGCTAATGAGAGACAGGGCTCGCCAAACCCTATGCCAGCTCCACCTACTTCTGTTGTACATCTATCTGACAAGATCAGTGATCTGATCTCTTAAATATAAAATTATCCTTTGTTGAATACTTCAAACAAAACAATTGCTTACCTTTCCACTCATCTATAACCCGTTCTTTATTCTCTATTGATTCATCATACAGCTCTGCCTCAGGTTCGTCATCAGGGTCATGATACTGTATAAAGTAAGCATGGGCAAGTGCTTCTGAAGCAGTTATTCTTTTGTCACTGTCCAGTATAAGCATTTTTTCAAGAAGATCCACAGCTGGGATTAAAAAAAAATAGAATCAAATTGCTAATCTATTTTAGCAAGCACAAATAAAGTCTTCTTTCAACTCCAAAGTAAAATCTGACTTTTTATACTCGTGTATAGGTCTAAAAATTTTATTAGTCTAAAAATTTGGGTCAAAACCTGGTTCAACTTATCCACGAGTCAGTTTGAATTCTGTACATTACATTTTACTTTAAAAAGGAACCATCTCCTTCTATGAATAGAGTGGTGAAAGGCAAGAGGTTAGTCCATCCTGGGAGAACCTAAAAGAAGCACCTACCCCCTCTACTCCCTCTGCCAAGGCACTGCTTCTGGCCTTTTTGAATGCCTGGGTGGGAAAATGGCAGCAGGCCCACTGAGGTGGCATTGGCACTTTCTCCTCTCTGAGGAATGACATCAACCTATCCATGGGTCATATCAAAATTTTGACCCTCAAATCAACCCTCAATTGGTTGACTTATACATGCGTATATATGGTACATAGTTTGCCCAATCTAATCTCAAGGCAACAAGTTGCTTCTTTTTAAAAATGCAGAACTATACAAAAATTAAATGGAGGGAAAGCACAGCAGAGACCCAACATGTTTATTTAGCATCATTTTACACAGCACATTTCGCATTCATGAATTCATTTACAAGAACAAAATTGATGCAGCCAGTTATGAAGGGCACCCAATGGTAATATTTATGGCTTTCCCCTTCAAAGCACAGATGAGATATGCTGAATTGGGAAAGACCAGAATGGGAATGTTCATGTGGATTTTGCATTTAAAATATTAGTGATTTATGTGCATAGGCTGGCATCTTTTAGTGACATATGGAAGTGCTTATGTATGTTACTAACTGGATGTTTGCATATGTCAGAGGTTAGCATTCCCTTCCATATTCTATAATGACAAACGACTCATGGTTTTACTACGACAGCAACAAAAACAACAATAGATCCTAAATAGTAATTTCATGGCGGCAGAGATAGACACTTGATGATCCTACTAACTGCACATCAGCCATTGGATAGCCCCCGGTGGCGCAGTGGGTTAAACCACTGTGCCGGCAGGACTGAAGACCGACAGGTCACAGGTTTGAATCCAGGGAGAGCGCGGCTGAGCTCCTTATATCAGCTCCAGCTCCTCATGTGGGGACAAGAGAGAAGCCTCCCACAAGCATGTTAAAACATCAAAACATCCGGGCATCCCCTGGGCAACGTCCTTGCAGACGGCCAATTCTCTCACACCAGAATCGACTTGCAGTTTCTCAAGTCACTCCTGACATGACAAAAAAAATTCAATTGGATAGCCAATCAATATCCTGGGGGTAGTGAATGGGGAGACAGAGGAGAGTTCCACCTGAAGAACTCTCACACTATTCTGGACAATGTAGGATCTTAATTATATGTTTCTTGCATAACTGATGCTATATCATTTATTTAAAATCTTTTTATTGGCAATGGGCTGTATAGGTTTATGAAAAACAACACCATTAAAACTATAAAATAAAAGCTGCTATTCAAACCGTGCACAAAATTAATACATAAACCACAAAATGAATCAATAAAAACTCTTTAAAATGCCTGGTCCAAAAGGATGTTGAGAGCAAAGTTGTTCCTAATCATATCTCCCTAGAGATCGCATTATCAAGTTGGAGAAGCATTACTTTCAAGGGCCTTTTAAAGAAGTAGGCAGTCTACTTATAAGATATTTAGAGATGTGCTTCTTCTGAAGATTGTCATAAACAGTAAAGATGGTATACACAACACAGGTATTTATAGCATCAACTGTAATAACCTGAATCTTGAAAACTGGCCTTGGTAAATGTTTAGGAACTGGACTAGGACCCTGGAGACCTGGAAGGTTGAGCCCTGATCTCCAGAGTGGTAGTCCAATGTTCAAACCAATACATCATCCTGGATCTCTAGTTAAATGGAAGATAATTTGAAATTTTGGAATGCTGTACTTTTCCCATTTCAGCTTATTATTTTTCCAGTAAACAACTATCCTTGTAGTTACTGTATATGCCTTGAAGTAGTTTCTGACTTATGGCAATCCTAAGGTGAAACTATAATGGGGTTTTGTCAAGTTTTGTTCAGATGAGATTTGCCTTTGTCTTTGCCTGAAGACAACACTCAAACCACTCCAACACTCAAACCACTACATCATGCTGGCTCAAAACAATCAAACTAAATATTCATATATTGTACATTCTTACCTAGTGGGTTAGCACCACGAAATACTGCTTTCAGATCCTGTTGTGGCATATGGGGCAGAGATTCTATATACTTTCTGGCCTAAAGTAAAGTAAAGAATAACTTTTGTAATCAGAAACAAATGTTTACTGTGGGATAAGTAGCACAAATAACTGTTAAGAGTATCTAGACAAGAACAGAACTGCATTTAAATGCAACAAGCCATTCCTGAAAGTAAATTGCACTCTGAAGATAGTATGACATTTATAATTTCTTATCATTTAGATGGAGCCCCCAGTGGTGCAGTGGGTTAAACCCTTGTGCTGGCAGGACTGAATACTAACAGGTCGCAGGTTCGAATCCGGGAAGAGCATGGATGAGCTCCCTCTGTCAGCTCCAGCTCCCCATGCAGGGACATGAGAGAAACCTCCCACAAGGATGGCAAAAACATCAAAAACATCTGGGCGTCCCCTGGGCAACATCCTTTCTCTCACACTAAAAGCGACTTCCAGTTTCTCAAGTCACTCCTGACACACACACATCATTTAGATCATTTTTTTTCTAATTATAGATTTGAAATTGACCCTATAATGTCCCTAATATAAATATTTAATGAAACTGCATGGCTGTTGAATCTCTACATATCTGTAGAAGGAAACTGGAAGAATCATGACCTCCATAGCAATGCTTGCATCCCTTGTTCCCAGTGGCATTCTTGTGACTCATGTATATACTTCGTCATTTAGCAGGGACAATCTTTATAAATGTCAAAACATAATACTACAGAAATAAAAAAAATAGGAGTGTCATTCTTTCTTGTGTGCAAATGAAGCACCAAGCTAAATTTTGACCAGTTCTAGCAATTATTTTCTGTTCACCATTTCCTACCCACATGTTTATGTTTATAGCAAATATGCATTTATGGGTGTCAAAGATGCCTTATTTAAAAAAACAATGAACCCCATATCAAGCTGTCCCTGGTTCCTGTTGCTGCTCCTCAAAAGAATAGCCTCCTGAGGCTGCTTTTCATGAAGAAAAATCACCACAGCCTGCCAAGCATTTCTTATGTGCATCTAGATATTCAATTTGTCATTCAGTGTGACTTCTGATTAAGATTCAACAGGAGTTCTGTAATGTCTTGATTACGGGATGGTCTCTTCTCCTTGTTACAGTATTCTCCAGAGATCACCAGTTATTTAGAACACTTGAATGATTCTGGTTCCAGGCACACTACCAATTGTTTTAGAATGGCTCTCTACCTGAGTTAATAAAGGGACAGCAAATGGAATTCATCGTGTGCATTAATTCAAGATAGCAAGTCCTGTTCTATTATGCCGCATCCTCCAAGCAGCTCTCAGATAAAGTCTTTTTACTCTCTTCTGAAGGTAATTATTAAGAAGGACAAGTTGGTTCGCAGTGGAGAAATCCACCAGTGTGAACACAGGAATAACGTGTGTTAGCAGTGTGGGTTCTTCCTTCTCAAAGCAGACACCCAACTCCTCCGGAGGGCTCGGGGGGCACTGGAATAGATCTGGAGTGAGAGGAAGGCAAGTTCAGCTCTGTGAACATATGCCCATGGACAATTGCATTTCATGGATGTTCCGAGGGTGGGTGGGCAGAACAATTCTGTCTTAACAGGGATTGCTGCACCCAGAGAACATCTTTCTCCATGCATTCCAAACTTCTTACAGCAGAAACAGCGTTTCATAGGGTGTGGCATAAATGCATTTTATTATGTTTTAAATTTGTTTAGTGCACTTTTAAATATATACACTGTATTTATGACTGTGTATATATGTGTAGATGTGTGTGTGTATGTGTACACACACACACACACACACACACACACACACATGGATATATAATGTTTACACATCCTAGTTTATTGTCTAATTTATTACTACCCAGTCCCCATTTCAATGTTTAATTCTTTCATTATAATTTTACTGTTATTATTATGCATTATTTTGTATTATTTCTGATGTTGTTTCTTATATATAAACTTTATTTCTACACCCCATCTCTCTCCCAAAAAGGGACTCAGAGTGGTTTACAGTACAAAAACGGGCAAACATTTAATGCCTTACAATGTAACAAACAACATCAGGAGTAATACAAAATTATATAGAGAGAGAGGGGGGGGGGAGGGGGAGAGAGGAGACATACTTAGTTTTAACTTGTAATCCCCTCTTGAATCCGGTGCTGGGAGAAAAGGGGAGTATTAATTAATTAATTTCAAAGAACAAGCGGTGCAATTTCTTCATCTCTATCTTCTTTGTAGATCACCGCTTCTCTTATTCTGGGTTTACTGCTTCTGCCATGCAAGGGAAACAAATCTAACCATCCTAAAGTGTAGAAGGATATGCTCATCTCTCCAATATTAGCATGGAGAAGTATGCTTGCTGCCAGGAGAGTGCACCTGGGACTTTGAAATGGAAATTTATTCTCACTCATTGCACACAGTGAGATTTTTAAAAATGGCTTACCTTCTTGACTCCATATAACCTTATGGCAAATTACGGAAATCATCTGTATTCTTAATAACTTGAGAAATTTGGAAAATGTGTTTTAGGAGACAGAGTGCTTTTCCAATTCTCAACTGAAAGCTGGCTTCTGTTCAGATGGTGATCACATTTTTCATACATGATAAAAACCACACTGTGTTCTCTGAATCTATGAAATTCTGTGATTCCTGAAACCACATGGAATGATGTACCAGATTTTCCCTAAATGAAAGAAAAAACTCCACTGCACCTTGGAGAGTTTTTGTTAGTAATTTCAGTCTTGAAAAAATGTAACATGCTAGTGAGTGTCTTAGGGAGGTAAGGAGCTTGAGGCATATATGGCCAATTGGCTGCACTTTGTCCACCTATCATCTAACAGAAAGTGTAGTTTTGGGTTGCATTAGTGCAGTGTAGAGCAAGGCACTTTTGAATCAAAATGTGTGTATAGGCAGTAATTAATCTGCATAATATTATTCGCTTCTCCCTACATACTGTAATTTATTTCTGTACAATTTTAATGCTTTTTATACCAAAGCTGCCATCATTTCAACAGTCGTAACAGTCATACTTTGTATTGCATGCAATCATTATTTGTTTCTCCAAATGGGAAGAGAATGAATCCCTCAATTACCTCTTTAATCTTACTACCATTAATCCTTCAGTTACCCCATTTAATCTCACAAAATATGTTTAATGGCATTTAAATGTGTGATTTGCAAATAGGCTTTTATTCCAAAAAGGCTATAGGCGAGCATTTAATTCAATACAAAGCAATGTTTGACATACTTTCTCTTTAAGTATGGTGAATATTTTAAGGATCACATTTCCAATGACTGTGTGTGTTATATAGCTTATTATGTAGTTATTAGAAACGGAAGCCGGATTATCTGAAATACTATATAAGTGATTCTTGTTGGAGGACAGTGAATTCAGATCCTCTAGAGATCCCCTATCAGAGCAAGGATATACACAAAAATGTTGTCAGTATGGACATTTTTACACTGCCAGTTCATAAAACTGAGCAAATGACAGTATTTACAGTGTTAAATATAGATTGAGGGTATTTCCAGATAAAATCCTTATCAAATGCTCAGCCTGCTCATCAAATCCACTACATTCTCCAGTTCCAGCATAAATTACGGGGATATCTCCCCAAGAATCAACTGTAAATCTTGTACAATTCCATTTGTTTTCTCAAGGGGTTTGTATGATAGGTTCATTCTCATTTAAAGAAACCATCAACAATGCATTACCTAACACTGGACTTAGCAACACATCTGTCCAATGGTATTATTTTCATTCAGCACTATTTTGTTGTTTTGTGCCTTTGTTTCCAACTGATTGTGATCCTATCATAGGGTTTAGCAAGATTAATTCAGAGGAGGTTTGCCAGTGTTGCATCTTAGTCTCAGAGAATGTGACTTGCTAAATGTAACCCAGTGGATTTTGGGCAACATTCAAACCATTACACACAGTACAAGACTTAACAGCATTTGTATTGATCGCTCTTCTACTCTTTTCTTGGCATTTTTTCACATTATTTCTTTTTCTTTTTCACATATTTGAAATCGTAAATAGTATTTTAAAGGGAAATGAATATGAGCAATCGAATACATTCATTATTATGGTAGCTAAACTGCACACTTACGTGTTCTGATGAGATTTTCTTGAGAAGTTCGGAACTGGGTGTGCCAACCACTTCCATTATTCGTTTTAGCTGATCAATATCTGCAAGAGATTTAAGAAAACTACAGGAAAGGCAGGAAGCTGGCATATGACCCATCTGCTTAAACCAGAGTAGATGCTGATGTTGAAATCATTACTGGCCAGCTTTGTGGGGGCTAATAGGAACTGGATTCAGCAGACGTAGCTTAAATTGATTAGTTAGCTCTCCTGTTTGCCTTGTTATGAAGAAAGAATTATGGATATGCAAATGCGGATGTGAACTTCAGTGGGAGGAGTGTTTTTATGTGAGGAGGCAGGATATCTTCTCCTGTCCTGCAACATCTCTTTGCAGATACATTGTGTGGCTAGAAATAGGGAAATGATGCACGGGACTAAATGGTGAACTACATTAACAAAAATCAAGAATGCTTTAAGTCTAAGGAAATCCAGGTGCTGTCAGACTACTACTCCCACCCCATAGTTATACTGCCTGAGGCCAATGGGAATTGTAGTCCAACAATATCTGGAGGACCACAAGAAGCCCACCCATGCTTCCAGGCATCAGCTAAGAACACAGACTAAATAGAAATTTAACTTCTTTGTAATCATCAATTACAGTTTCACAGAAAATGTGAAGTGTACCCAAAACAACTAAAATATATTATCTCTCTTTAGAGAAAGATTTGTGGACCGTTTTTTGCTCTGCCAAAGTGAAAACTGCTGACAATTGAAACACTGGGTATATGCATGATACCTAGAGATAACTACTGAATGGGAAACACATTATCTACAGATCCCTCTAAATAGTTGAAAAGGGAGACCCCTTAATACACATGCTCTTCTAAACAATGTGTGGAGCAGAACAAACCACACACTACCTATTGCAATGAAATCTTGAGTCCTGCCACATGCACAATGGAGGACCCCCTTATAGCAACACCAGAGGCACTCCAAGTGGCCAGCTACTGGTCAAAGGACATTTAATATAAAGTTTTTAAACTTTGTGTTTTTAAATACATTACAACTGTACACTTGGTTTGCTTCTAATATGATAAATAAATAAATAAATTCTAAACAATTAGGTATCTTTCCCAGTTAACAGGTACAATTGCAGAGGGATCTTTCAACGTCTTCGCATTAGTAATTTGTCCCTTACAGATGCCTAGTTTGCACATGTGATAGGATAGGGAATGAAAAGCTTACATTGTCCCCTGCAGTCTATCACTTCAGTTAATGTTTAGGTACCCATGCTCTAATCCCCAAACTTCTGTTCTCAATATGGCTCAAAAACTGGAAAAGGGGAAGGTTCCTTTCTCACAATGCTGACTTCTATGAATCGGAGAGGGATCCTACATTTTCCAGGTGGATTACAAATTTCTCAGCCGCTCTCTTTTCTGATATCTGCCCAGCAACTACGATTTCAAGATGTGCTTATATTTGGGTCATTATTTAAATGAAGCAGACAAAAGATTTAAAGCACCCTGCAGTGCCTTATGGACACAGTGCTATGGTTGAATTATTTGACTTTGTGTCCAGCTGTGAAAAACAGTCACTACAACTATTAGCAACATGTTTGTTGTACCAATTTTGTTAAATGACTAAACATTGCCTTAAAAGCAATTTCAGCACTTGGGTCATTTCACCGGGAGGGAAGGATACAGTCGTTACCAGGAAACAGGGCCTTTCCTTTCAGCAGCTCTGCCATGATGCACCCAACCGACCAAATGTCAACTGCCAAAATACAAAGCAAATGAGACAGAGGTTTGGAGTCTTCTGCATTCCAAAAAAATCCAATTCAAGGGATTAAAGTACATTTCTTCATAATGTAATGCAAGGAAGGAGCAGAGTTTGGACTTAACTCCCTTAATCCCCAGCTATCATGGACATGCTCACTGGGGGATTCTGGGAGTTACAGGTAAGAAGCATAATGTTCCAAAGCTCTGGGGGAAAGTTAATATTGTCAAACTTACCTGTTTGATTATAATGCATCCAGTTTAACATGATTTCTGGTGCTCTGTACCACCGTGTTGCTACGTAACCTGTCATTTCATCATCAGTTTGTCGGGCCAAGCCAAAGTCTAATATCTACAGAATAATTAATACAAATTTTCCAATTATTTTTATTATATAAACATTCATACCTTTCTTTTATTCTATTGATTGTGACTAATCTAATACAGGGACTAGCATTATAAGCATATGGTCAAAATATCTGAACCACAAGAGAATTCTATGATATCTATTGCCTCAGCATGTTTTCTTATAAACCTTTGATCTTTGCAATGGCTTCAGGCATATCTCAGAAAACAGAAAGTTGACTTAGAAAAAAATCACATGTGGCACTGCTACACAGCAAACATGATCTGTGTCAATTCTTATATGGATCCAGAAATGATATGGAACACCTGGCTATGTAAACATCCAACACGAGCCTATGATAACTCCCTTTCTTTCTCTTCTTGGAAGAGGTTGAAAGCAAGGTTAGGGGGAGATGTGCTCATGATCTTACCAGACCATGACATTTCAGCCTCTTCCTCCAACTTTTATTGTTAAACATAGTGGCCCTGTTTTGGACCTTTAATGACATTCTCCACACACATGCCAAAAAGAAAGAAAAAACAATGAAGGTAAATATATTATGCTCAGTAACAATTTGTATAGTAGTGCAGCAACAAGCTGAGGGTCTGAAGGAGCCAAAACTGGTTCTTTGCTGTCTGATGTATTTACTACTAAAAGTAGTATAGATTTTTAGACACCAGAAAAATGAGATGTCCTGATGGTATATCATGCAATACACAGAAAATCAAGGAAAGGGGTATATTTGTAATTAATAAAATAGTTCCTATGAGGCCTTGCCAATATGGCCAAGGCTGAGAAATCACGCTGCAATCCAACAACTTCTGGAAGACCACACATTTCCTATCCCTCAGTACAAGATTCAATAGTACTGAGCCCAGGTTCATACATTACCTGTGATAGTGCTCTTCTTCATAGGGTGGAGAGGCTGGTTTAACACTCCAATTCATCATAAAGATGACCTTATATGTGAAATGGATGCTTTGCTTTTGGATGGGTGGGTTTATGAATAATGTAATTTGGATATCGGGTCACCTGAATGGTGCATTGTAAGGGTGTGAACCACTACATAAAGAGAGGCATGCATAAGGTGGAGAATTGGGGGATCCAAAACAATAAAGTGAAGGCATACAGATTTTAAACCACAAAGTTGAATAAGGGGGGAGGGGGAAATAAAATATCTAACGAAAACGAATCAGTGTGCTTTCATTCCTTAACCAGCTAAACAATCACTTACTTTTGAGATAAGTGTATAAGACAAGAGAGTAACTCACAAATGAAATCAAATGTATGACAAAGGATATTCAGGGTTTTTGCTTCAGGGATGCCCACAAGGCAGTACAAGATGGCTGCCTCAGGCAGCTCATTTTGGTTGCCATGAAAGGGCAATAATTAACTTTGTTAATCCTTTTATTGTTACTGTATTTTATTACTCCAGAGGGAATTACCCGTTTCTGTCATTTTATTCCTTATGTGCCAGAAGAACTTGGCTGGCTTTAGATATTATGTACCTTGACTGGAATGAGTAAGCAGCTCCATTTGCTGTTCCATTTCAAGCAGCAGAAATCTTGATCCATCCCTAAGACATCTTGTAGTGTCTACCTTTTTATACTCATGTTTGTCCCTTAAGACAGTGGCAATTGTTGATTTCAGTGCCATTGAGGTGATGAATACATTTCAAGTTTTTATTGGGTTTTTGAAGCACTATTTAAGATGAGGAAATGTTTGGAGGTGGAATTTCAGCACCTTGGATAGCTCCTTTAAAATGTTAAGTCTCGGCAGTGCCTTAACCTTCCAGGTGATATGGAAGCCATCAGCTACCACATTCCTAACTGTCAAAATTGGTTTTTAACATCATCATCACACACACAAATATGGAATGTGGAAGAGTACTTTTGTAGCAGTTCCAGAATTATGCTACTTTTCTACCAAAGTGTTATCAAATCCAGAATAGTCCTTATTTCAATATTAATGCTGTGACCTTTTTAAAAAAGTGAATAGTTCAAAACATCATTTGGAAAAAAAGATGGTCACTTTATCTGGCGTAGGAATGACTTGGAGGAAGTAATTTAATAGAGGGAGAGGATTCTATATACTATCGCAGTTAAAATGTTATCTTTCATCCGTAAGGGTGCTTTTTTCAACCCTTGACTTGCCCCTGGCTTCCAAAATGGTCTTTTCCCTACTATTTCAGGAGCAGCAAAAATCCTTTTAAAGAGACTGTAGGTTTCCCTGCACAGTTTTACATCCATAAACTACCAGCCACTTATGGATTTGTTCTTACTTTTGTTGTGTTTAAGGAATTATTTTGCTATCTAGTGGGCCTCAGAGAATCCCTGGAGAGGAAAGCTGACACTCTGCATCTTTTGTAGAATGCCAACCACTGCGATTCAGCAATAGGGATCTGAAGAACGTTTTTAAACAAAGACTTCATTCTGGATGTGATCCATTCAGCAGGATGGTACCTCTTTTATGCAGGTAACATTCCCCACTCAATCTCTGCAAATCAGTCTTGTTAGCTGTGATTGCTATTTCCCATGCCAGACTGGAATGGTATATGCAGTGATGAACATGCACTCAGCCCTGCCATGATATCTGGTCTGGGGCCTATATGTACACTTTTATACCTTTCTCTGTTCTTGAACTGGTTGTTTCTTATTTGGAACAATGTGGGAGAAAAATATACATAAATAAGATTTCTGAACAGAAGACATTTCTTTCCAACTTATGGGTGAAAATGTGAGACATATACACTATTAATCAAGACACCCCTGAGTGATATTGCGGGAGAATCAGAAATGTGAGAGGCCATAATGAAATCAACACAGATCATGGGTTTCTTTCATCTGCCAAATAAGATCCCTCTGATAATTCCACTCTTTTTTGTATGTGCATCCTCACAATAGTTTTATTATGTTTTCTTTCTTGTTGATTGCTAATCTTAAACTATAATTGTAGTAGCCATTTGTTATCTGCTTGATCTTGCTTTAATAGCTTTTTCTTTCATCAACTTTTCATGCAATCAAAACAGGTACTGTAGAAACCAGGAGCATGTCTGCCTTGAAGGGGAAAATCCAAAACTTGCATTCCACTTGGTATTCAGAGAATTCATTATTAGACAGATTTGCAAAATTCAAACATTTTACATAGGAACAGAGGAAACTGCCTTAGACTGAGACAGTATTGTGACCACTGACTGGCAGCAGTTCTACAGGATTTTATAGGTGGAATTTTTCCAATAAGATCTGAAATTGATGGGAACTCAACCTGAAACCTTCTGCAGGCAAAGCAAGTGCTTTACAACTGAATTTGTAAAGATTCTGCCATTATTTTACTTTCTTTCTCAGTATTAGAAAAATAAAAAAAAAACTGACTCCAGGATAAAAGCAAGAATGAATCTACTTCATATTTGCATTAAAATATATGTGGCCTAATTTCACTGAAATAATCAAATAGCATGAATCCTACCCTTAATTCACAGTCTTCATTTACAGCTAGGTTACTCGGCTTCAGGTCCTGCATTGGAATACATTTAAGAGTGTTAAAACAAGGCTAACTAGTCTTCAACATTGCAATTCTACCCCCACTTACTTAGAGGGAAGCCCTACTGAACTAATGGAGCTTATTTTCAAATAGGTATGGACAGAAAGCCCAACCAATGATCGCCAAGGTGTGATATATCATGGATACAACTTACCCGGTGAATGATTCCAGCTGAATGAATATACTGCAAAACAGAAAGAAAATAGATAAGGTCTGACACTCCACTCAAACACAAGTAATTATAAGATAGATATTAGATGTCATTCACCCTGACTGGGGTTTGCTGTAACACTGAGATTTAGATTTGCTCACATTTTTGCCTTTAAAGCAAGCATACAGCAATCTAGCTATGGGGTAAAAACAACCACAGAATAGCTCCCTAAAACTTCTACTTAAAATGTGTCATTTAGATCTTCTTGTATTCTAGATCTCCCATTGGAATACTAGAGCATCAAGAATTGTCTGATGCACTTTGTTCTTTATTTTTGCTCCTTTCAAAGGAATATTCATCCTTTCTTGGAAAACGATATGGCAGCAACATGTTTGGGAATTTTCACAAGTTTTACAACACACACCACATGCAAGAGATTCCCATGCAAAAAAAAGTATATTTTGTTTTCAAATAATTTGATGCATACAAAACACAGAGATCTTCAAAGTAGTTATGGCTTACCATGGGCAAGGCTTAAAACTGGCCTGCATTGGGAAGTGATTAATTAATGGCTTGATTTCACTATTGTGCTAGCAGATTTTCACTAGTGCCAATATTATAGCCCACTTTAAAATCCCTTCTAGAAGTTTTCTCAGCTCACTGAAGCAGATTTTTAGGATTCAGGGACAAAAAGAAATCATCCACTTGTGGGGTCCACTAATAAAATTCACTGCTCGAGCAAAATGCCACAGATTCAGCCCAATGAGTATATTTTAGCATGATTGCAATGGTTCTCTCATACCATCAATACCCACAACTACCTACCAGGTTCAAGGTAAGGACTTCCAAGTGCATCTGGTTTCGACCAATACTGAGCTAATCATAAAACATGCTGAAAAATAGAACCTCACATTTTCCAAACGGGATCATTAAACCTGACGCAAAGACTATTGGAAGAAAAGTTATCGACTTCTTTTTGCAGGTACAAAAACTGAAGCAAACACCATAAAATCGTTGATCCTGCAATTCTTCTTATAAGATGAATGTCAGTTAAATCAATAGAAGCACTAGCTCATCGGGTGCTGGTTTATATTCCAAGATAAAAATGAAATCCAGCAGAAGGATTTCAAATGTATTTCAATCAAGTTCTGACCATGCTGTGAGCATTAGAGTATTTTATTTCTCCTTCCAAGCTTTCTATTTGGAGTTAAATAAAAATGGATTTACTAAAAATAATATTCAGATCAGCAATTCCAATAAAGCAAGAATGGAAAGCTGTGCAGGGTCTGGGGCCAGATTTCTGTAGGCCCCACCCATAGGATAAGGCAGGAATATTGCTCGGTTTTTAACTGTATCGAGACAAAATGGCAATCAGAAGGGAACAGATGCTACCATTTTGGCTGGTGAATATAGAGCTATGTTTTAAAGGGGAGGGTTCTCCAGGAGCTAAAGTGTTTTTACACATTTTGTCATAATTTTTAGATGAATGGGTAAAAACCATGAATCCCCAAACAGTTGGTGGGAATCTTTGACGAACTGATATTGGCCTTCAAGGATTACAAAGGTGACATCTCTCAGGAATCACACCTTCCCCACTTCTGCCATAAAGGAAAAGGGTTAGATATCACCAAAGCTATGTATGAAAGTGTAGCTAGATGCTAGGCTGGTAATGCAAGGATTCTTCCATACTAAGAGTATAGAGGGGCTTGGGCATTCTGGTTCCTCCATACCAGAGCTAATAAAAGTTACTTTTGTGGGATTATACTTTCCAGAATCTCTCAGTCAGCATGCTTAATGGCCATACTGATTAAGGAATTCTGGCAGCAATAGTGCCCCAAAGGGGACTTTTATAAACCCTTCCCTTTACTATTTGCTATTAAAAGGAAGCTGATTGCTCCCATAGCTTTATTACAGTACAGATTAGCCTTTACACTTACAAAACCAATATGTATACCAGAGCTTTCCAAAGATTTCATGTTGGTGACATATTTTTTAGGCATGCAACATTTCACGACACAGTAATTCAGTTTTACTAGCAAACTGAAGGTTAAATCATCCCCCATGGGAGATACGAACACATACATAGAGCTTAATATAACACGAAACCTTTTACTTTAGTATGTCAGCTGCAGTGTGTAGATGTGTCTCTCGAATGTAAGGAGAACATAATAAATTTGAGACACACCTACACAGATTTATTATGTTCTCATTACATTTGAGAGACACACCTACACACTGCAGCTGACATACTAAAGTGTTGTGTTGTTAGGACAGCTCTGTAGCATACAGTGAACCTCTGTAGTATACAATGGAACTGAACACAGGCAGAAGGGCTCATGATTGCATGTGTTAACTCAGTAACCAAGCAATTTATTAAATTTCTTTAACAAAGTAACAGGTTTCAATCAGGAATGACAAAGGGAAACAGAGTAATACCAATTTCATAGATGTCACTTTTTTAAAGCAGTATTTTTCTTAGTTTTTTTTTTAAGAACACGAATGTTTTACCTTAAGTCCTCGTAGTAATTGATATATAAGAAATTGTATGTGGTCATCTGTCAATTTTTGGCACTTTACAATATTATTGAGGTCAGCACCCATTAAATTTGTGACAAGATACCTGCAAATACAAAACAAGCATACTTGTGACTGGCAGAAGCATTTACATTGTACCTCTGTTCATATCTACATAGAATTAAGTCCTACTTACTTCAGGGAGTTCAGGCAAATGTCTACTAGACTGCAACCTGAATTGTTTATAAAAGTTTTTTTGCCCATCATTTAGTGAATTCTTTGTAAATAGTGAGTTCAGACTATATAATGACCACACTGGTATCAGTGACCATTAGCATGATTAAGCATTCCAGGAATGGGCACCACTAGGAGCTACTGATGTCTCATATGGTTGAGGAAATGAGGAAAGAGTTATCATGAGGAAAAAGGGTCCCCACTGAAGCTCTATCACCTATCCTTGTTTTTCACAAGCCATTTTTTTCCAAATTCCAATTGTCACAGGGACAGAAAGTGAGGTGAAATCTTCTAAACAGAACCAATCTTGTTGTAATTTGGGGCCTGTATTCTAGTTGGGGCTTTCTGGCAATTGAAGTCCAAGAAAGTAACTTTCTTAACCTTCATAGTATTTAACACTGGTTGGGTAGTTTACTAGGTATCAAAGTTCATGTCAAACTTACACTTCGTTAAAATTTTCTATTGATGTTGCAGGTGTAAAAACATCTAGTAACCCTATAACCTGAAAGAAAAAGGAAGAAAATCCATTTTACTTAGAGAAATGTATGTGGCAATGCAGCATGTTAACCACCTGCGTATTCTGTTGTGGCATTACACAGTAAGGGATACCCTCCTCATAAAGGCCCACTTGGTGCCAGCCTTGCTATCATTCCAGCACCAAGTAATAACTGGATGTTTATTAAAGCCTTTGAACCCTATGATGCTTTTTATAGAAGTCTATACATATATACGATTTTAAATAATTTGAAACTCCTAACTTAAATGGCTTTGTTTTTAGTCCTTGAAAAACCATTTGTACTGTTGTTCATATATTTTTAAATGGGCCAATTTGGCTTTACTGTAAACTATCCTGAGACAGAACTACACACTCTTAGAATGAAGACAATTATGGTACAGTCCAATAAAATCTGTTACATCCAACTCTGTGTTTATATTTTGTGCCTCTAAAGGTTTAAACATATGTACATGCTAATGGGGACTTGCTGCCCATGCCACACCTCATTCAGACATATCTTCTTGCTCCTTCTCAACACGTTTCACTGGTTTATTCCCTAACAAAGAAAATGCAGGCTCAATAATCCTTTTTGGCCCTTCTCCTTAGGTGTATCCCTTTATTTTATTTAAATGTCACATGTATATATTTTCAGGGGCCTAAATATACCAAAGACACCAGATCATATCTGATCTTCGAAGTTAAACAGGGTCAGTCCTAATTAGTACTTGGATGGGAGATAGCCAATGAACCCCAGGCTATAATTCAGAGGAAGGAACTGACAAAACTACCTCTGAGCATTCCTTACCTTAGAAAGCCCTATTAAATTCATGAGGTTAGCTGCATGTGACATATATTTATTCAATTACATGAATGTTCAATTTAAAGGAAACCATAGGATCAATTTATGAAACACACACAGAAAACATTTACAGGATCAAGGTGGAAGGTGGGCTAATGATGTTACCAGATGTTAGCCCAACAGCTTCTGCAATGGGAAAAATCCTAGAACTGGATTCTCATGCACTCAGGCTTGGAGAAAGAAGACCATACATCTGAATAAAACATGGTAAGTTTATTTTGCAGGATGCGCACTACTCAGATTATGTTTTATCACTGTTATCATGGTTATGTTGGCAGAAAAGCAATGATTATATATAAATTGTTTCATTCCGAATTGCTTGTTAGTTTGGATAAAATTATTCCTGATTGCTTTACATTGAAACAAACTGTCCTAAATTGTTTTATATTTTTATCATTTGGATTCCCCCCCCCCCCCAAAAAAAAAGTAAAGCTGTGAAGTAAAGCTGGAAACACTTTAAAATATATAAATTCTAGTTTTTTCCCCACAATTTTGAGAAGTTTCATTTAAAAGATATACTGGCTGAAGGACTCTAAGGGCTACAGTTTTTAAACTATGGTTTGCCAAAAAAAGGAAGATGTATGAAAATATAAGGCAAGAGGAGAAAGAATGTGACCCATATTTGAAAACCTCAAACCCCTTGGAATATTATTGAGGTGGCCTGACTTAGTGCCTTGATACAAGCCAGACCTATTTAGCTAAAATAATCCTCACTGAAGCAAAAATAAATAAACTTCCAACATGTTCCAAAATGGAATTGAGGTTATCTGATAGGAGGATATAAGAGACCTAATTTCCTGTTATGAAACATTAAAGGTTAGTGGGTCATGAGGTTATAGAGAAATGTTCTACTTTTTCTGTTCCATATTTTTCACCAGGAAGTCCATACTTTTTGGAAGTGTATATTCCAGAAAAATGACTGCACAGTCCCAAATGCATAGTCAATGGACTGGGGTTCCTCCCATCTAGTATATTGATGGACAAAAGGAAAGGAAAGCTAAAACCCGAGCTTCCTATTGAAGATTGATGTGTGATATTCTCTTCACTCACATTTTCATGTTTCATATGCTTGAGTAATCTAAGCTCCCGGTAGGTCCTTCTGGCATGAATAAGGGACTGGAAAGGCCTCGAAAGCTTTTTGACTGCCACCTTCTGTCTTGTTTTGGTATCACATGCTGAACTGAAACAAAATAAAATACAGTGAAAAGTGCTTTCAATAGTTTCCCACTTTTAACGTTCTGTGTTTCCTGCTATCTAGATTTTGAGCAAATATATCAATTTATCTTCAATTTTATTTAAAATTCAGTCATAGCTGTATTCTTTCACTGAGGAAGGTGCACCAAAACCTTTAGTATTACCTATGCTGTGTACCACATTCAAACTTCCTCTGTACATATACACATACATAGACACACACACACATACTCTGATCTTATTGACTACTGGTTTTAAATTGTTGTTATACTGTTGTATTTGTTTATATGTTGCGGCATCAAATTGTTGCAGAGTATAAGCCATTCCGAGTCCCCCTCCAGGGGTTGGGAAGAATGGGGTAGAAATGCTGGAAATAAATAAATAAATGCAGTTTGAGTCCAATGAGGGCATTAGAGCTCTAAAATCTTCTGGAGAGCATATCCAGAAGAGCATGTTCAAGAAGGAGAGGTGGTGGTGGTGGAAGAGGAGGAGGAAAAGAAGGAAAAGAAAAAGAAGGGGGGAAAGAAGAAGGAGAAGGAGAAGCAAAGGGAGGAGGAGGAAGGAGGAGGGGAAGAAAAGGGGGGACTAATGTACTTGTTCCTTGCCCCAGGTCAATGATTTGTTACATCAAGCAGCTGAACCTGCCCCATACCACAAAAATGTTCCAGAGATTTGCTCGGTTCAGCAATACTAAATAGAATTCAACCAGTATCAACTGTTTGAAGGACACCTCTTACACAAGCACAAGTCTAAATGTCATGCAACAAAGGAGCATTAATTCAACAACATGAGTAACAGATTTCAAAGCCAACAACAACACACCAGAGGAAACGTAACAGAAGCAGACAGCCATTAACCCACACTGGCGGGTTTGCTCTTCAAATAACCAAATGGACACCATTTTTATTTTATCAAGTTCTGTTGAAAAAGTTATCTTTTTTTCACTGAAGAGACCCAAGTACTTGGTAGGATTTGGAAATAATTACAAGTAAGTAATGTTATTTCTGGAAGACTACGTGGATAATAATGCAACCTTTAATTGGATAATGAGACACACCAAAAGAATCACAAAACAAATCAGGATATGTTTCATAGATTATAGTACAGCCTTTGATTGTATATAGGCTATTAAAAACTATTGATTGTTCTAACAATGGGGGCGTGACACATTTGTTTTGACACATAAGTTTTGCTTTGGAGAGGAAACCACTGTCAGGACACATCTAAGAAAAGTATGCTTTCCCTTTAACAAGGATATCAGCCAAGGCTGCATGTTATCACATTAGTTTGATTCATATGCAGAACACAACATGCGGAAAGTGAGGTTAGACTTAAAAGAAGGAGGCATGAGAATTAGGAGAAGGAACACCAACAACTGAAGTTATGCAACTGATATCATAGTAGGAGCAAAAAAGCAGCTATGAAACCCATGTTTTTGCTCTCCCTAAGAAAATTAACTGAAAGTAATAGAAAGGCATTGAGTAGAATAAGTTATTTTGCTTCCAACACTGTTGAGAGGTAATGAAAATGTATTTCTTTTAAAAAGTAATTTTCCAAACTCTGGCAGTTGGGTTAAAGCAAACATTACTTGCATTTTCATGTGGATTAAGCGGGGAAATCTATTATTTTGTATCCTTCATTGTCTCACGACAGCAACCCTCCACAGACAACTCTTCCCTCAGCAAATTAGTATTTCTTGTAATAACAACGTAAGGATCATCCCAAGGGTAATATCCTTCTCCCATCTGCCATGACAAATAACCAGAGAATGAGCTTCATTAATTTGGCTTCCTGTCTCCCCTGTCTCCAAGTCAGGACTCCTTTGGGAGCAATCAGAGGTGAATTCAGGGGATTTGGTGAACAGACAGGAGCCGCTATTAATTATAGAGTCTGCCACTCTGTCTAGGTGTACCAAACGTTCATCATGCCTGTCAACCACTGATATGCTATATGTACTCATCTCAGGTGCATCATTAATTAACACCTACCAACTTACAATGCTATAAAAGGTTGCCTTAGGCGCCACTGACAATAAACAAGCTTTCAATACAAATGAATGAGGATTTGATCATTTGTTCTAGGGCTCAGAAAACTCATCGTTTGCTTGTGAATTCTATTTCTTCCCTGCTGACAGTCTGGACAGAGTTCTTCCTTACAAGTTAGAAATTTTATAAACTGCCACCATCACATCCTGAACCATGCCAAAAAGGACAATAAAACTAAGGATCCTGCCCCTATGCATACTGCCTCCATTTAGTTTTCATGTGCAGGATAATTTCTGATGTGAACAGGAAAGAACAGCTACAATAGCTTGCCCTCCTATTATTCATTAATTGCTGTTTAGTGTACATCTTCTAACTCAGACAGAAAACACAGCTACAGTTGCTTGGCCATTACTAAGCAACTGTAGCAGAATTCAAAATGATCTTAACCGATTAGAGAGATGGGCCAAAGCTAACAAAATGAAGTTCAACAGTGACAAATGCAAGATACTCCACTTAGGCAGAAAAAATGAAATGCAAAGATACAGAATGGGGGGCGCGTGGCTCGAGAGCAGTACGTGTGAAAAAGATCTTGGGGTCCTCGTGGACAACAAGTTAAACATGAGCCAACAATGTGATGCGGCAGCAAAAAAAACCAATGGGATTTTGGCCTGCATCAATAAGAGTATAGTGTCTAGATCCAGGGAAGTCATGCTACCCCTCTATTCTGCCTTGGTTAGACCACACCTGGAATATTGTGTCCAATTCTGGACACCAGAATTCAAGAGAGATATTGACAAGCTGGAATATGTCCAGAGGAGGGAAACTAAAATGATCAGGGATCTGGAGAACAAGCCCTATTAGGAGCGGCTTAAAGAGCTGGGCATGTCTAGCCTGAAGAAGAGAAGGCTGAGAGGAGACATGATAGCCATGTACAAATACGTGAGAGGAAGTCATAGAGAGGAGGGAGCAAACTTGTTCTCTGCTGCCCTGCAGACTAGGACGCGGAACAATGGCTTCAAACTACAAGAAAGGAGATTCCATCTGAACATTAGGAAGCACTTCCTGACTGTGAGAGCTGTTCAGCAGTGGAACTCTCTGCCCTGGAGTGTGGTGGAGGCTCCTTCTTTGGAAGTTTTTAAACAGAGGCTGGATGGCTATCTGTTGGGGGTGCTTTGAATGCAATTTTCTTGCTTCTTGGCAGGGGGTTGGACTGGATGGCCCATGAGGTCTCTTCCAACTCTATGATTCTACCGATTCACTAAAGCGATCCTCATCTACTCCAACAGCAACTTCACATTTCAGTTTAGACAGCCCACTGTCCAGACATGACTGTTGTGACTTGCTGATGTCTCTACGGATCTCTGAGCAATCTCTTTCAATGCATTCAGATAGATGTTTTAAAGACTGCTGCACCCATATAGGTCTGCCCATACCATAAGATCAGTATTATGGTCTTGTTACTACACTATTTGAATCGGTTAGAATGGTGGTCTTGTCCAGGTTACTTTTACTAATTTTATTTTAAGAATGTTTCTGGCTTTTAGGTTGCTGCTTTCAGGTCATTAGTTTTAGATTATTGGCTCAGATTTCAAAGTTTATGCCAAGTTATTCTAAAATGAACATTAATGAAGCTGTGGCCTGTTCTCTGGGCTACTACAGTTGCTAGTCCCAATTAGGCCCAATGCATTAATCTCTGCTTGGTAAATCAACATGTATGCAAACCCCCTTGATTAAATGTTCTACTCTGGTTAGAGTTTTGTGTTTTGGGAGGTATTTGAAACTTCTGACTTATTTCTATCGAATTCTCTCATGTTTTTTAAATTCTTGTACAATGTTTTTAAGTTGTCTTGAGAGGATCTTGCTCTACCACACTGAGTTTAGCATCCCTTCAAATAAACCACACACACATACATAATCAAATCATGGTTTTGTTTTGATTGGGGGGGGGGGTTGTCAGGAGGAACTTGAGAAACTGCAAGTCATTCCTGTTGTGAGATAATTGACCGTGTGCAAGGACGTTGCCCAGGGGATGCCTGGATATTTGACGTTTTTGCCATCCTTGTGGGAGGCTTCTCTCATGTCCCCACATGGGGAGCTGGAGCTGACAGAGGGAGCTCAACCTGCTCTCCCCAAATTTGAACAACTGACCTATTGGTCAGCAGTCCTGCTGGCACAAGGGTTTAACTCATTGCATCACCGTGGGCTCCATCGAATCATGGTAATTATATGACTCCCCAGATGATGCTGGATTGCAGCTCCCAGTATTCCTTACCATTGCCTATGCTGACCAGGGATGCTGGGACATGCAGTCCAACGGCATCTGATGTCCTTCATAATTCATAGCCTTGCCTTTCACAGTAGGGTAAAACTGATCCGTTAAATCGGATTACCAGAATGAATACAGTGCCCCCAACTCAACCATCAGTTGAGAAGGACATCATGGTTAAATATTGTAATTCTCTAGATGACTAATATTACTCATTCTGTTTTTCTCTGGCCAGTTTCACTTCCAGAAATGGATTGAAAGAAAAACTGAAATTGATATGACAGTTTCACCCAGGACTGTTATGATTTTTGGTGGCAACACCTAAGGTGTTTCTTGCATATGAATTTTGCCTAGAAGAAGGTTCTTGGGAAAGATACTGTTCCTAGCACCAAGGAGGCTTATTTTATGCTTTCAGGAGACTAGAAAATGGTGCATTTGATGAAATTGCAGGAAAAAAGATTCCATTTGAGTATTAGGAAACATTTCCTGATGGTAGGATCTGCTAAACGGTAGAATACACCGCCTTTGAGTATGGTGGAGTCTCTTTCTTAGGAGGTATTTAAACAAAGACTGAATTGGAATTGTGTGTTCCTTCCTGGCAGAACAGGATTGGATGTGATGGCCCTTGTATGATTATATGATGTCACCCCAAAATCTTCATTGTCCTTCATGCTCTTTCAGGAAAAACTGCATAATCACTTTCTTTGATGCACATAGTATCCTATTAATT